CACATTAAGACAAATGCTTACATAAATATATAATAATGGAGAAAGCTATTCAATGGAGAGAATTACCACAAGGTTTTTATTATATCAGTGATGTCAAACCAACCAAATAGGGTTATCAATTGTTTCTTATCAATTTACAAAAAGAGTGTAGTTATATAGTCTGGTCTCCTAGTAAAATGAACGAAGAACTTAATAAAAATGTTGAATATCGCTTTATCGATAAAAATAATAAAGAATATTTTTATTACCATTTGGGCTCATCTAAAGCAATGATTGGCCCCAGGTATTGGTGAGATAGAGCCAATCTCATGACTATCGTTAAATCGCATGATCATTTTGACATAAAAAATGCCACCTGTAGTAGCAGTATAGGTATTAAATCTGGCTCCAGTGGAAGTGAGCCAGAACCCCCATTACCTATACTACTTTGCTTCATACGGACGTCCCCCATACCTTGTTTTTATTACCATTGGGAGCCACCCCTGAAGATAGTACATGATAGATGTCGTCAAATTCCAATCTTTGTGCCAAGATTGCTGACGACATAGCGTACGGATCTCGAGATCTGCTCCGGAAACGATAACTACTCCCATTATTCAGTTCAAGTCAAAGTTGTTGTCATGGAAGCTCGTAAAGTAGCATTTTTTAAATCAAAAACTCTGAAAAGACACCAGTTCACCACTAGACCAATCTATTTGCCAAGTTTCCTGAAGTACGTTTTTCAAGATATGTTACGGAAACGAGCACTACCGCCATTTTAAGTCAAAGTCAATGTTTTGCAATGGAAACGCGAAAAATTCATATTTTTTTAAATCCCAAACTATAGAAGGCACTAGTTTACCTCAAGATCTATCTATGTGCAATGTTTCGTGAAGAAATATTGAACGCTTTTCAAGATCTGCTTGAGAAACGACAGCTTGCACGGACGGACGGTGTCAATTTAAATAATAACCCCTGAAAAATGCTTTCCGGGGGATGATGATATACGATGACTTATGGCTGAAAAGGACACACATGATAAGATCTATGAGGCATAATAAAACATCGGAATTCAGGTTTTTTAGGTGGCATGAGACACAAAAAGTTTCCGCTTCATATTCCTTAAGCTTTCAGACAAAATGTCACAACTCTTAAACGTTACGACGGATGGACAACGGACAACTTAACAACGTACGCACACTGGAACTTTCAGTTCAGGTGAGCTAAAATTAGAAGCCTTCAGAAAGTGTTCGGAGGTTAGAAAATTGAAATCAGAATTAGACACATATTGTACTGAATGATTATAACATGTTCACTGACAAACAATTTGAATGGATTTGAAATCCTGCTGAATAATAAGGAAATATTTTCAAATGAATAAGAAAAATTCACACGAGAAATATCTGAAAGTGGAGTATGTTGTCATGTATGGTCTAAGGGAGGTAACTAGGAGTAGATTAGTTTGCTCAGTGGAGGGTTAATATAATACAAGTAGAGATTGCTGCGTAGCATCAATTGTTCCCCGCCATAAATGTCATATGCAGAGAAAAGAAGTGTAAGCTATGGGAGGTGAGGATTAGTGTAAAGTACAAATTGGTTGTTATTAATGTAGTTGTCTTTGGAAAGCAACAATTTATTTAAATGGTCAGTACAATGAAAATCAAAACGACTGTTGACAAATATACATACATTTATCTATGTACACAAAATTGGAAAGTTCAAACGTTATATACAGTCATTCATTGGGAAAGCCATAGGTGCTTTCCATAGATTAAAATGATGATATCCTGGTAATATTAGCAATAATAAAACCCTTATAGAACTAATAATGTAATACAATTATGAATTTTTGGGGTCTTGATTGCGAAATGTTAAAACATATTGATACACTTCTTCCAGAAAGACTTCAGTTTTGTAAATTATTTCTAGTAGTAGGCAAGAAAACACTTACCTGGGCCTAACATGCAGAACTTGGTATATAACCACCATTAGTACCAATAATAAAGACAAATTGATCACAAGTCCTGTATAGATGACACAACAAATGATGTGGCAGAAAATATCAATATTTCTGGTCAAAATGTTGGCTTGGAAAACAAACTTTTGAACTAGTGAACACAAATACATGTAATGAATCCACTGTATATAAACTCAAGTCCAAATGTCAAAATATGTTCAAGTATTCATTAAGGGATATTCCAATATATCCAACAGCAAGTTACATACATACATGTTGGCCAAGTCATCGGTAAATAATGAGAATTATCTTACATATTATAAAAACAAAGCTCATAGCTAGGTCACGTTTCTCAAAACATCGTTTTAGTAATCACCAACTAAAAATTAAAACTGATAGATACACAAAAACAGTGTGAAACATGTGGTGTCTTAGAATATGAGCAACACTGTGCACTTGTATACAAATACAACCAAGAAAGAGAATTACTTCAACAAATAATCCTCACAATTTGGCACACTCTACTGAAAGGAACAATTCTTACTAACTTTTACCAACAGTTATCCAGGAACAATTTCGAAGATTTGTTATCATATCTACAATTATAAACAAATTCTTTGTATGTACAGAATTACTACAGTTTTGTTTCATATTGTTTCCATGTCATTGTAATAAAAAAACTGTTTTAATGTACCTCCATATATTTTGTAGTTTGTAGTAGTGTAATATTGCCACTGTTTGTTCATGGACTTTGAATATCTCATCTAATAAGTCTTTGTTGTATGATAGTTTGTTTGAGTTGTATGATAGTTTGTTGTAGTTGTATATGGAGCACGGTTGGCACAATCGTCTTAGGCCCTGCTCTGCTATGCAGAGTTGTGTCCCTTGAGCACACCAGTGTGTTCGATTCCCGGTTCGCCCCGATTATGTTCAAGGTTTGTAACACCATACACGTGCTGGTGGGTTTTAGCAAAGTAATGAACGTCTAAGACGTGGATCACTTCGGGTTTTCCTCCCACACCAAGCTGACACGCTGTGATATAACTGGAACACTATTCAAAGCGGCGTTAAAACCAACTCACTCACTCACTCACTCACACATAACTCTGTTTCTGTTGGGTTAACTGAGTTTGTGTTGCGATTACTACTGGTTTAGATTTGCAGTATGTTTGGAAGATTGTTGCCATGTTGAACCCAAACATCGTGAAGATATCATGCAACCGCGTTGTGTTTAAAGGAAAACATGCTAACTACAGGCCAGCCTGTTGATTTCCTTTGTATCTAGAAGTCAATGAACATATACGGTTTTATAATCTCTGCTGGAAGTTAAAAATACTGTCAAAGCAATAAATTATGCAGAACCGTAAACCGCCGCATAAAACGGTATGAATCATACATTACATGCAGTGAACTCCTTGAAACAGCAAGCACCATACATATAATTATGAAGAAACTAATTTCAAAGTTGTAATATCAAACCCGTTGTTTTACATGTTTGGTTATTGAACAAAGTCATCGAATAGAAGCCTGGTATTTAATCGTGTTGAACAATATTTAAAGTTGCAATAGTAGTGTGAAGGGAGAAAAATTGCGTGTGCCTCACATGCTTGATCTGAATTCCGCACTGGAACCTGTCTAGCGGTTTGCGACCGCCTCCGTGGTCTAGTGGTGGAGCGTCCGCCCGGAGAGCGGAAGGTCCGGGGTTCGATCCCCGACTGCGTCATACCAAAAGACGTTAAAAGATGGTACTTGTTGTTACCCTGTCTGGCGCTCGGCATTAGGGGCTTAAACAAGGAGAGGTCGGCTCAGAGTCAGAATACTGTTTCTGAGTGGGGTATCCATGTTAAACTGCGGCATGGTATCTCAGTGTGCTAGCACTATAAATCGGAATCAATCCGGACTAGTACAAGCAGCCACACACACACGAACATGCACGTCGCTATATAAGTGCAATAATCTTGGACGCGACGTTAAACCCTATTTCACCTCACCTCACCTCTCGCGGGCTGCCTGAATAACATACGATACATTGCAAAGGTATTGCACAATAGAGCTATTCGGGTAAGGGAGATGATCACTCACTCTCCAAACCAGCGGCAGCTTACAGCTTGAATAAGATACGATGAACCGCATTGCAAAGTCAGTGCGTGACGGTGCTAAACTACCCCCATATAACCACGGACTTGTATAACCTGGATAGGAAACGATACAGAATTCCTGAAACTATCTCTGCCGCGCATCCGCGAATTGAAATCCGAGCCCCATGTTATCGGTATCCCGCAGGCGCGATGACAACCACATGTGGACAGCTTATGGCGCATGCGTAGTAGGGCTTAACTTGACTTCCCCTGGTTACCAAAACATCCGGCTTACAAGCATGTGTGGCGATCGATAGCTGTCAAAACACATATGTCCCATGTGCATCAGATTTTTATCAATTAAACACGGAAATGGTAATTATGATGATCGAGATATCTGACCAGGTTATATAGGTCCGTGATATAACGTAGTCACTCACTCTGACTCATCGACAAAGTGGACTGTCAACATAGTCTGATAACATCAACATATTGATACTAAATAATTGATATAGACCGTGTATTGTCACATTCGATGCTGGGGTGTTAGAATCATGTGGGCGATTCCTTGAATCATCAAGCCATATTCCAGGAAATGAATTACGTCACACAACCTTTCACCATGCAGACAAAACAGCTACATATGTAGGTTATCCGAACATAAACATTTAGTAGAAAGTGCAGTGCAGTGCAGATTCGACTGCAATCTGCACGTGTACGTAGACGGTTCAATGTCACCAACCTGTGGGCGCGGTAATAAAACGATAAAAGGTGTTGACGGACCTCCAAGTCATGTTACTCACATGTTAAAATATTTTATCTGCTTTATAAACCTTAAAATATATATGGCTCATATGTTCAGTATAACACTGACATGCGCAAGGGTTATATAATGTAAATTAGGAATTTACTGGATCAACAAAACAAAAACACACAATTGTGTTTGTCTGATTTCAAATGCATCGATCGATTCTACCTATCCTTACCTGTATTATCTGGCGAGGGTGTCGTCGGAATAGAATAGCGGTTCTTCTTCTTGTTTCTCCCCATCGTATCTGTCTGAGATTCTTGAGGCTGGGTCCTCCTCCGTCTAAACAGCACAATTCACGAAGCTTGCAAGCTTTGAGCTGTCTCTTAGCGACCGTTGTTTTGTACTTGAAATCGTTAGTGGAAAACCCGTCACTTTCTGTTCTTGGAAAACACGCGTCATAGTTTCGGTTTCCATAAAAGGGGAAATGTATTCAACATGGCTGACCCCATGCGTTGTCATTGTGTATAGCATTATTAGTATCTAAATATGATTTCTTGAATTCCCCAATTCACTTTTCGACAATGAGACATGACATATTAAAGCTTTTTTAAAGCTTAGGGTAATCGAGAGTTTGTTTGTTTGTTTGTTACTGTTTAATGCCGCATTCAGCAATATTCAAGCTACATGGCGGTGGTCTGCATATTATCGAGTCTCGACCAGGCAATCGAGTGAGTGATATAATGAGCATCGATCCACGGAATTGGGATTCGGTGACATGCATCAACCAAGTCAGCGAGCCTGACCACCCGATCCCGTTAGTCACCTCTCACGACGAGCATTGTCACCTTTTACGGCAAGTATGGGTTGCTGAAGACCTATAAGCTGTTAAAACATTTGACAAGTTATTGGTTATGTATCATATCTTGAATCATATCTTGATGTTATGGTTGTGCACTTTTGATCGACCATTGGTAGGTCGGATAAATTGGTAGGTATGATTCATTCAACAAGGCTCGCTAAATACAATGTTTATTCTCTCTCTCTCTCTCTCTCTCTCTCTCTCTCTCTCTCTCTCTCTCTCTCTATATATATATATATATATATATATATATATATATATATATATACAGTGTAGATATCGCTTGATCTCATCGAAGCGATATCTCCTGTGGGAGCCAGTTTTGGATGATACATTGAGGATTAACCACGAGTGTTTAGTTTTTTCGGTAATAACTGAACACATTGGTTAATCCTTTTTCTCCCATTACAATACGCACTAAAAAGTCGAGCTCGTAGTTGAAGATTTCCCGTGTTTAGTAACCACTCGGGATTTCCCCCAGCCTCGTTTTCGAATATGCTCTGTGAGACAACTGCACAATAAACAGGTAAAAAGGATCTAGCGAAGACAACTCACACGAGTTTTCCGTGACAGGCAAGCGACTTGTTAGCATTAATGTTATGTTTTTTGTTAACTATTAAAAGCTGTTGTGAGTATCGTTTTGAGAATTAGTAATGTGATTTGATATTTGTAAATGGTTTTGGGTTACTCGGCCCATAACTTTATTTGCATTCGTCCCGCCGTGATTGTCATTCTCAATGCGCAACTCTAAATAGGCCCACCTTTTTAGTGTATGTAAATACGTTATTCGTTTATTTGTTCGCTAGAAACAAATGTTATTAACCCAATTAACAGGAAATTAAATATTGTCTTAAATATTGTGATATTGTTAACGAAAAACAAGGCAAACTCGGGCAACTGATCAGCTGATTAAATCTTCTCAAATCCATCAATGGATTGTAATATTTTTGGACGAATGTTCCTCTTTAAAACTAATTTTACAGTGAATAATTCAATAAGTAAAATGATGATTATTTCATGTCTTTTTTTGTTTTTGTTTTGTTCCTGAACATGGTGAGCACATGTGTTTTTATTAAAAATATTTAAAAAAACAAATTATTCAAATGACAAGTTTTCTTTTGAACATAATATTTAACATCATGACACCAAAAATGTTACTAAATGAGTCCTCTAATTTCCCCATATTTGTGAATGACAAGAAACAATGTGAATTTGACAAGCACAATAATTTATTGTGTGGGAAAAATAAATGCATAGGATACATATGTAAACAATAAATTATCATTTCAGTAGTTCTACAAATATGTACATTTTAATACCCTTGTAACTTTGCATTGTTATTTTACTGCAACAGTTACCTCCAAACTTTATTCTTTTGTTATTTTATCAGATTAGAAGTTAAGACTTACTGATAATAGGTAATTTAAAATTAACATTTTCTTCTTTTTATATTCATGAAAACAAGAAATAATAATAAATATGTATTTTAGTGACCTGTGCATATGTGATTTTTTGGTAAAACGTATTAAAATTAAAATGAGACATTGCTAATGTAAAGAAATAAGGTTTATGGTAAAATGTTATAAGAGGACCTCTTGTTGGTGATTTCTTCATCACCCATAAATTTGAGTTTTTCTTTACTTACCATGTTCTGAAAATTTACACATTAGAATAATCTAAGGTCTCTGATTAAAATAGCGACACAGCTTTCCACTCTCAGACAGCCAATTAGATTATGTGAAAAAAATAAACCACTGTAAAGCTTGTAATGGGAGAATAATAAATAAAAATACATTTCTTTTTTTTTCATATGTCCAGTTTATCATCCCAAGAAATGCTAAATAATTATCATTAAAATTAAGCTAGCTATGCAGATAGGGGCTCTTTATCTGCTATGATAACATAACAATTGCATTATTAAAGAAGTGGTTTTTTTCAGTGAACATGGTAAATAATCAATCTTTGGTTTAAAGAATATACTTGAGACAAAAGTAATTCTACATGTCTTAATACTCTGTATTGTCTGTTAATTCTGAAAATAATTAACTGTGATATTGAGTTTCTACCTAAAACTAATAATATGAAATTAATTTTGAGATTATTTCATCCTATCTAAAATACAAAATATATTTTAAGAAGCATAAATGTACACCATTGTAAAAAAAAAATATTGTTTTTGAAAAAATACCTAATAAGGTTGATTGGTGCCCACCATCTTCATCTTCATCATTTTGTCTGCTCCCTATAATAAATCAAAATAGTTAAGAAAAAATATAAATATACATATTACTTTACTTTATTTAGATTTAGGTATGACTTAATACATTCAAGTTTAAACGGGGTAATGTTTTTTTTTTCATAATGAGTTTCTTAATTGTCCAGGAATACAAAATACATTCATTATATTGATCTGGATAAACTCCACCTGTTGAAAGGGGAAACAACTGCTGCGGTTGCAAAACATCTTGGTCGTGAGATGTACGATCCGTCCGGCAAAGATTGATCGTTTTCTGCATTAAAATTGAGTATTGCTTTAGATCCAAATTATCTGAGTGTTTATTTTCGTAAATTATAAAATTTAAGTCTCGATTATTTTAATATAACTATGAAATACATGTATGTTTTGATCGATGGGCTCTAGATCAACACTTCGTTATAACGTGACATTTATTATGTGGTTGATAGTTATTTTTTTAATAAATACTAAACAATATGGTTTTTTTCACTTTTTCATCGGTATTTTTACATGAATTAATTAACTGTTTCATTAGCTTTGTTATTAGCCTTGAAAACGCCCGTACCGGAGTGGCTCACCTGGTCCCGTAATATCGATGCGGTATCTCGCTTCGGTTACCGTCTTCTAATTCTGCAACTGGTGGCACTGTTGGCCCAGTCGTCTAAGGCGACGCGTCTGTGCAGAGTTGCGTCCCTTGGGCGCGCCAGAAATTTTCTCTTGGTCACCAACTTTCGGCAATGGAAAAATTGTCACTGTTTTAAAAGATCACAGCGGTTTTGTGATTTAGCCTTGTTTACTGCTTCTTCCACTATTTTTCTAGGGTAGTTTCTTTCTAATAGTGACTCACTCAGTTCATCAAGTCTATATTGTGCACGATCTGAATCTGATACTATCGCGCAGATTCTATGTGCTAATGAGTAAGGGGCACTGTTTTTTATATGACGGGGATGACAGGAATTGTAATTGAGGTATTGCTTGGAATCGGTTGGTTTGTAATATACATCTGTTATGTTATTGTTTGAAATTGTAACCATTACATCTAGAAACGATAGATTTTTATAGCTCATCTCTAACGTTAAGATTAAACTTGGATGGAGTGTCTGTAAAATATCTTTCAAACGCTGTAGATCGTTTTCATTCCGACTCCACAGAACAAAACAATCATCTAAACATCTTTTCCATCTATCTTGAAATCCCTGTCCAAATTCAATGCCGATTTCTTCAATTTTTGTGTACACTTTTTTCTCCAAATATATATATTTACAGCACGAGCAGAAACGCATTCAGATAATACGAGGATATCCAGCATACCGATATTATTTGTTTGTTGAATGGTGGTTGGAAGAAAGGATGAATGGCACATGACATGAGTGAGTGAGTTGGGTTTAACGTCACTTTTAACATTATTCCAGTTATATCACGGCGTGTCATCTTAATGTGGGAGGAAAGCCCGAAGTGATGCAGGTCTTAGACGTTTACCACTTCGGTGAAACCCACGAGCACGGGTATGGTGCTGACAAACCTAGAAACATAATCGGGGTGAACCGGGATTCGAACCCACAACCATAGGTTTCTGGCGTGTCCAGGGGACGCAACTCTGCACAGCGAATCGCGGCGCCTTAGACGACAGGGCCACCCGTGTCCCCGTACATGGCATGAAATAAATGGACAGATATGAGAGTGCACCCTTGTATTCTTCATAAAGGAGTGGGGGCGTGAAGGGACGCCAGAAACCTATGCTTGCCGTAAAAGGCGACTATGCTTGTCGTAAAAGGCGACTAACGGGATCGGGTGGTCAGGCTCGCTGACTTGGTTGATACATGTCATCGATCCCAATTACGTGGGCCGATGCTCATGATATAAATCACTGGATTGTCTGGACCAGACTCGATCATTTACAGATCGCCCTCATAAAGTTGTAATATTGGTGAGTGCGGCGTTAAATACAGGGCCGGACAACGGACGAGGGGGTACTGACACAAGTTCACTTGAAAAAATCAGTCAGGTGAGCTAAAACATAATCACGTCTTAATTTTCCAATATTTTATTCACACATTTAAGCTAAATTGTCTTTGGAAGTGCACAAAAAGTAGAAAATGATTTCACTAGTGAAATATGAAACATGATCTATGAAGAACAAAAGAAACAGATAATTATCTATATATATCACACGTAAATGAAGCGACAAAACCCTTTTCATATCCAATAGAAATATCTGCATAAAGCAGAGTCGATTGTACGATTCTGACTATATCATGAGCATGTGTTTATGAATCACTATCAAATAGTAATGATACAAGGGGTTCGTGGCACCCGTCACATATACATGCAAAGGCAAGTCAATTGTTCACCTGAAAAAACATGGGAACAGATGGTCAAAATAGGGAATTTTTGTCACTGATGCGTCAAATTTAGAAATGTCCTCCAAATGTCTACCGTAAAACCTTTTGAAAGCTTTACTGCTTTACAACTAGCGAACAAGATTAGTTTGAAATGTTGGTAGAAAGAGCATGCTCGTTTGTTTCTCAAAAGTTGTGAAATGTAAACACAAAAGGCTGGAGCTGCTGGAATATTGCTCGAAAGTTGAAGTCATCCCTCTTGTCAAACAGTCTTGTGGAGAGTGTTTTGTCACTGAATCTTTATACATCAACCTACATATGAAACAGATGAGGCGGTCTCACTGGTCTCCTTTATTTCTAATTCAGGTGGGTAAATCAGTGGAAGGGAATAGGCTATTTGATTGTTATTTAACGTTATCGGATCATCGAGAAAGCTGAAGTTAAACTTCTGGGCCAAGTTGCCTTGTTTTAACTTGGCCAAATCCGAACAGAAATTCCGATTCATACACCTAAGGAAACAGATCCGCAAGAAGGGGAGCACAATTGGTGCCCATGGGGGTGCCTACTTCCTGCCTGAATGTCTTACCCCCAAGTTTTACGTAGATGTTATCAATGAGGAAGTCCAGCATTTCACATATTGTTTTCTCTTTAAAAACATATTTCACATGAGACAATGGTCCCAGAACTTTAAAAAACGTTAACATGAAAACGTGCTCGGTACAGAAAGCAAAAAATTAAATAAAACATTCATTCATGTGGTCATTTACACAGAAAGATTCGTCCATAAAACATGATATGCGATGGAAGAGAATGGTCTCGCTCTACAGTGTTCGAATTTACGAAGCTCTTCTGCATACAAGTAACTTGAGATTTCCTATGTTAATTTTGTTTGTGTAATCTTATATAGTCCTTTCCATTTTCATCGGTTGAATTTCATTCCCTGAACCTTTGGTCAAATGCAGAAATAATAGAAACATTAAATCTGGGATCAACATCAACCAAGTCAGCGAAACTGGCGACCCGATCCCGTTAGTCGCCTTTTACGACAAGCATGGGTTGCTGAAGACCTATTCTACCCCGGAATCTTCATGGGTATTATGACTTGAACAAATTATGACGTATTTATAATCTGAAAACTACTAGCTCCCACATGCCGGCAATTTTAAGGGAGAAGAAGTTACAGAGTCAAACATTCCTTTTGGGTGAATTGAAGAGCATGGTAAAAAACAAAATTGGGAACATTTAAATGTAAAATATACCAGTTAGTGAGTGAGTGTAATGGGTGTAACACCGCTTTGAACAGTATTCAAATTATATCACGGTGCGTCAGCTTAATGTGAGAGTGAAGCCCTAAGTTAATCATATAACATTCAAAAATGGCTGAAAAATATCCACAAATAGAGTTTCACTATAGCAGATTGGATTCGAACGTGCTGAAGTAACTGGGGTGTCATCATTGGTTGGATTTGTTTATTGCTTGTTCAACGCCGCACACAGTAATATTCCAGCTATACGACGGCGGTCTGGACCAGAAAAATCAGTGATTGACTTCATGAGCAATTGTGTACACAAATGGGATACGATTACATGCATTAACCAAGTCAGCGTGCCTGACCACCCGATCCCGTCAGTCGTCTCTTACAAGCTTAGTCGGAACAAGCATGCCTTGGAGGCCATATTGAAAATGGGATTTAAACCTCTTGAACAAATCGGAATGTTATCATTGGAGATAACAAGCATGTGGGGTCTCAGGTTCATTGGTACAGTGGTTTCTTAGGAGAAGTTGTTTATGACGGATTACGGACAAACAGGCCATGACATAAGCTCACTTGATTTTCTGTCGGGTGAGTACAAATTCAAAACTTGTTGTATATATATATGCCTAATGGAACAGATAACGCGGTTTCACTGGTCTCTGGTGGGTTAAACAGTGGAAGGGAATTGGAAACGTAACCATCAAGCTTTAGTTAGATTTCAAGGCAAATTTCATTGTGTCCATCTGAACCACGATCTCCAGGGAGTCTATCTGTTGTTTCACGATGCGATTCATTGTGTATTTAGCACACCAATGCTTGCTAAACAAAATATTTATTACTATTACAAGATAAGAACTACCCCACACTACACTCGCGTTATAACCTCCATGTACATGTACATAGGTGTCAATAGCTGGTAACAAATCCATTGATCCTTATACATTTCAGTACCCCGGCGTCATTGGTAATATATCATCAACTCCTTCGCGGACTGAGACTATGGTGCTAGAAATAATTTAAAGACAAAACCAACAGAAGTAAGTACTAATGTGGCACATTATAGTAAATGGACTGATATGTTGTTGAGTACGAATAACAATTACATCAGCAGACCTCACCTTCTTGATGAATGAACCTCTGAATTAAGCACATTTAATTTCTTGTGTATTACGAACGCCATGGGTAATAATTATGATTACATATTGCGATAACGTCCTCCATTACTGGGATGTATGAATGACTGCATTTGCACTACAACTGAGAACATCATGATTAAACATATCCTATTGAACTGTGAGTCCTAAGGTACAAACCAATACTATACTGTAGTGATGTCCTCCAGAAATGGACTTCCGAAAAGATCAGGTTGCAGGTAAAGAAAAGCCACTGTTGGGTGGAAGTTTTGTTTTGTTTGTTTGTTGTTTAACGCCGCACTCAGCAATATTCCAGCTATATGACGGCGGTCTGTAAGTAATCGAGTCTTGACGAGACAATCCAATGATTAATATCATGAGCATCGATCCACGCAATTGGGATCGATGATATGCATCAATCAAGTCAGCGAGCCTGACCATCCGATCCCGTTAGTCGCCTTTTACGACAAGCAGAGTCACCTTTTACGACAAGCATGGGTTGCTGAAGACCTATTCTACCCGGGAATCTTCACGGGTCGTCGTGTGAAAGTATGTCCAACGGCTGCATAACTTGAATTAAAATCACTTGCACTCTCTTCGTCTGGTTTCTGTTATAGATAGGGACATGGTCAAGACAAAGCAGTATACAGCTACATAATGCTTCAACTAAAGGTCACAAGAGTCCCAATGTAGTTGTTGTAACCAAACACGTAAGTATTAATACATGGTCTCTGCTTTCTTTGTATGAAACTTAATGGTCCTTGTACAATCCATATCATAAGTACCATTAACGTCAACTCTCATTTACCATATAGATCGCTTATGTACGTCATCACAATCCGTTAATGTCAATCAATATATGAGACGCTAATTAGCAAAGAATGCACAAACAGAAAGAAGAACGAGTCGTAAGTTCTGCTAGTTTTACAAAATCAACAATGATGTAGTCTCTTCCTACTTATGTGCACTTTAACTAAATACTGCTGATGCAATATCTGTGTACACGTTCAACAAGTGCACGAAACGTATCAATACCATAAGCAAGACACATTTATTAAGTCAGTCATTTATGCCGGCTATTGTAAAATTAGGGACTTATTTACCCCTGTCAGTTAGAGACACCAGTACTCTAAAGCTCTGTTAAAGCCAGTCCGTTAATTTATGACTTATACAGACTTGAAACCGTCCCTATGGCCGAGAGAGAGAGAGAGAGAGAGAGACAGGGAGAGAGAGATAATGGTTTATTAGACAGTCCTAACCGTCTCTGTAGTCCTCCGTTTGAAAACGTTTATCACCAGTTTTATCACGCTGCTAGAAAAAGTATGCATAATGGCACTAACTGACATTTAAAAACAACAACCTAGTCCCCGATCTGTCGATATTGTCAAGTGGGAGCTCACATCCCAGCTTCACCGCAAATGTACAGTTGGTTCACGCTAATGGATTTATGTAAATGTAAAACCCTGTTTCCTGATCATTCTCTGTTTGTATGTACTCTGTATTTTGTTCATACCTCAGTTGTGTTATTATATAACGCTAATGGGGGATACCTAACTTGTGTCAACTATTTCCCAATCCTTTTCCTTTTGGATAAAATACATATGAATCAAATCAAAGAATATTGGAATACACATGTATAGTAAATTTGAGATACTACAATTGACACCAGTATGGACCAAGGAATAAGCTAAATTGTATTTGACGGGTGTCTGCTGTGAACTGTTGTGCATGAGGCTTCACATTATAAGTAAACCTTTCGATACTGTGAAGCGGTGCAGCCGAGAATCATAGACTAAATGTCAAATACGAAAATATACGGCGTTATATATATATAAAAAAAGGAGAAAGCTTTCCTATATTTCGACATGTCGCGTATTTCATGTCAAAAACCAATGGGAGTAGTACAGAAACGTTGTTTAATTTATGACGTCACTGTATTGCAACGTCGTCAAGGCACTGTATAACGTAGTCAATGGAATGTCAATGCACGTTAGAAATTGAGAGAAATAAATGGTCACAATAACATATATAAATTAATTAAAAAATTAATAAAAATAAACGTTTCCTTTCAGATAACCGTCATTTTCATATGTTATTAAATTGTTCTAAAACGTTAGCTACTTTTATGCGAAATTGATATTTCAAGACGACTTAGTAGTACAGTGTGAATGTAGCGCTGTAATTAACACTCTAGCGCAATAAACTGAACACAATCCCTCTTCTCCTTTCATTAGATTACACCATAACGATTATATAATGTTATATACCTATCTTATATACGGCTAATGCAGACCAGCCGTCATTCTGAAACTACTTATGTCCCTTTCAATAATATATTGAATTATATATTTAGTGATTTTATTAGGCTAGCGTATCATACACTTTAAAATTCTGCTGGCCCATGAAGATCCGGGTTGTTCAACAGCAACCCATGTCGTAAGAGGCGACACACGAGATCGGGGGCCAATCTCGCTGACTTGGTGGATGCATGTCATCGTATGCAAATTCCGTAGATCGATGTTCGGCATGTTCTAGGTTGTCTGGTCCAGACTGGATTATTTACAGATCGCCGTCATTCAGCTTGAGAATTGCTGACTGCGATGTTGAACAACAAACAAAAATACACACAAGCAAAGATTGCTATAGACCAATTCTTACCCGGGTCTTCACTGAATAAGTTATGTACTGACGGATATTCGAGTGGCTAAGTAGTCTACGGCGCCGAGCTTTGCCGTGATCGGGGGCACGGGTGGCCCAGTCGTCTAAGGCGCCGCGATTCGCTGTGCAGAGTTGTGGCCCTTGGGCACGCCAGAAACCTATGATTGTGGGTTCGAATCCCGGTTCGCCCAAATTATGTTTCTAGGTTTGTCAGCACCATGTCCGTGCTCGTGGGTTTCACCGAAGTGGTAAACGTCTGAGACCTGCATCACTTCGGGCTTTCCTCCCACATTAAGCTGACACGCCGTGATATAACTGGAATACTGTTAAAAGCGGCGTTAAACCCAACTCACTCACTCAATTTGCTGTGATCGTGGGTTGGAATACCAGATTTGCTCTGATGTCGTTTCCAGAGTTTTCAGCAACATTCCCGTGCTTGTTGGTTAAACCAACCTGGAAACATACAATACCTGCGTCACTTTCCTCTCACGTCACGCTGACACGTCGTGACATGACTGAATTTCTGTTAAAAGCTCCCCCACTTACTCATTCGCTCATCTGTTGACAAATGACATATTTTGGTTTCGTGAAAACGTGTATGCATTGCTCGCTAACCCGTTTCATAGATTTACGCATGGAATAAATAATTATCCTTGGCATCCCATTCCAGGAACCCCCGTTTGTGATACGCGAGGAGACTGAGAACGGAACACAGTACACGGGGTTCTCCATGGACGTGTTCAAGGAGATCTCACGGCGTCTTGACCTCGACTTCACGGTGTATGAACCCAGGGATGGACAGTATGGCAAACAGAACCCTGACGGAACGTGGACAGGACTGATGGGTGAAATACTGACTGGGGTAAAACATTCTGATTATACATCTTCTATATGTGCACAAACATAACTGAATGTGTTTTAAGAACCAAGTTGATTTGTTGGTTTATTTTTTTAACAATATATGTATGAGCATATGTCGTAAGTCCATCGGGCATTTATACATGCAATAACATTACTGAATATGTTTTGAATAGCCGAGTTGACAATTCTTGATCATTTTAAATTTAACAATTCATGCATGTGCATATATCGTCCCCCATCCGTCCGTCCTCCCGTCCATCCATTCGTACGGTTTCGTAACGTTTATGGATTGCGCTAGAGCCTTACATGTGTGTCGATGTTCATAGCGATGAGAGACGCCAACTTTTGTTACTGTGGTTTGTGACGGTGCACGAGGCAGAGTCCTGGGTACCAACTTATCCGGAATTCTACAAATCACACTTGGGTCGATCTTGTCAGCGTGTCAGATCGCGCGGACTTTACAGTCATGAGGTGAAATTGAAAAAAAGCGAAATATTATAATTCGTTACTGATATCTCTAATACTGAATCTACTTTGGCTGACGCTTCACCGAATATCCAAACAATGTGTGGCTTTGTTTACATCTGAACGCTTAAACATATTTAACATCACAAAAAAAGCCAGATTTACGATAATACCAAAAAAGAAAGAAAATCCAAATACGATCGAAGACATTGATTTAGTATTTAAAAGATATAAGAATGTAGTTTTAGTTTTATTTCCACCTCGGACAAATAAAGGTGTACAAAATTTTTCAATGAATCTATAGGAAAGAATTAGTTCAAACTAAGTTACGATTAGAATTAATACTTGTGTGTAATCTATACCCAAATATTTGCGTTTACGTGTCGGGTGAGCTACGTAGCCCTTGGACCAATGCTGAAAAAATAATGGTTAAACAGCTTTCACTGAATTAAGATTACTTGAAATGTTACACTTAACGCCTTAATGATACTTTGAAGCTGTCTTCCGGTATGTATTTGGACAAAGGTATATCGTTTCGATGGCGCTAAAATATTCATATCACGTCTGTGTAAGAAGTTAAATACATATTGTTACATCGCCCTCGAATAATATGAAATAAGAAAGATGTATGCAGGCAGAAGATTATGAGATATTGCTGACGATAGCCCTGGGTTACTTTAAGACAATACAACCTGCCGGCCCTCAGGTGTCTGTAAACTAAATGTAACGTTTCTCCACCCAGTATGCCGACATAGCTGTAGCGTCCATGTCCATGACAACTGAGAGAGACATGGTAGCCGACTTCACAACTCCATACTACGAATTCGGGGGCTTTCAAATCCTCATCAAGAACAATAACCCGGGCACATCTCTACTGGCATTTGCTAACGTGTTTTCCGGGGAGGTGTGGGCGTGTTGGGCGTCCGTCCTTCTCCTGTCGGGTCTCCTCGTGTGTGTCTTCGAACGCTTGAGTCCCTTCAGTCCCTACAACAAGGATCAGCATAAGGCACGGAAGAAGTTCACTGTGAAAGAGGGACTGTGGCTTGTAACGGCGTCATTTCCCATGGCAGGTAAGTGAATATATCAATACGGATATCACTTGGTTTATATAAGGTGAACTTATTTCGATAATTAGTTCTTACATATTATTGTTTTGTGTTCAATGAACTGTTAAAGGTAGATGTACATGTAGCTATTACTTCAAGGTTAAGTGAGTGAGTGAGTGAGTATGGTTTTTCGCCGCTTTTAGCAATATTCCAGCAATATCCCGGCGGGGGACACCGGAAATGGGCTTCACATGGGCTTGGTAAATGGTGTTGAATATTTTATGAATGGATCACTGAAAACCAAAGTAAGTGAGTGAGGTCTTACGCCGCTTTTAGCAATATTCCAGCAATACACTCGAAATGGAGTTCACACATTGTACCCATGTCGGGAATCGAACCCGGGTCTTCGGCGTGACGAGCAAACGCTTTAACCACTATGCTACCTGACCACCCCTTAAGGTTAAGTAATTTCAATACTCATGTCCTACCTTATGTTTTTTGTGGGGACTTCAGGTAAAATTAGATCCTGAGATGGTTTTTCATTTCCCATAAGCTTTCTTTTGCCCCCATTTGGTATAAACACGGCATCAAGATACCACAGACTACCTTAAAAGCGATCGGTTTTGTAAAAACAAAATATATTGTATAGACAATTGCACATTAGGCAATGTCATTGGAAATATTTTGCAACTGGATTTGACAAAATGTCCAGCATATTGTGTGTGGTCTACGTTTTGTCTACCCATGGGATTCCGGGTTTGAATTATTATAGGTCCCCAGCACCCTATGCCGGTCTTAATGAATCGGGTGATCAGGCTCTGTGACTTGATTTGTTGCGTGTCATCGTACCCCGACGGCGTGAGCCGTTGCTCCAATGTCATTCACTGGTTTGTCTGTAATAAACACGACTAGCTATACGCCCTGTTCTGTCTGACCGTGATTAGTCGCCTTGTCTGTGGTTATCAATGACAGTGACTGGTTGTTCTTTGACCAACTTTCTATTTCATGGCAAGGGAACGACCTGTCAATAATTATGATCAACCATATTTCACGAACGCGCCTCTGTGTGTTTTGGCTAAAGGCTATAGGCGTGAGAATACCACTGACTGATGTGTCATAATTTTCGGGCCGTCCGGCGTATTTTGCCTCTGATACTTGGCCACGAACAGCGAATATTGCTCTCTTTGCTGGTTTTCAAGAAAACAATCTTAATTACACATAGGATTAGACAGATCGAGGTTTATAACTTTCCGATATTTGCGTTTCGCCATGATTCAATTTCGTAATGTAAATTGTTCAGTTAGAGCGGCATAACGTCACATTGCTGTATTGTCTTATATTATATGTCTCCTTACAAGCCACAAAGCTCGGGAAAACAATCATGTATTCTGATCAGAAAATACCTCGAACCGCGATGGTTATTCTCCTACTCATTTTCACTTGCAACAGGTCCGGAGTGCACTCCTCGAACGTTCTCGACTCGTATGCTGGTTGGAGGATTCTGGTTCTTCTGCAGCATCATGATGGCCACCTACACGGCTAACCTGGCAGCCTTCCTCACCACATCCAGGCTCAGCGTCCCCATAGGTAGGAACATCATTCACTGACTGAGATAGGGTCGAGTAATAATATCCTGTCTAATCACGAAAAAGGCTCCATTTGTTTACAGCATCGATTTCAGCATCGTGCATGTGGTGAATATCATAGTGTATATGGGTTTGTGAGTGAGTATGGGTTTACACCACTTTTAGAATGTTCAAGCAATATGATGGCTTTACACATTGTACCCATGTGGGGAATCGAACGCGATCTTTTGCGTGACGAGCTAACGCTTTAACCACTAGGCTACCCCACCGCCTCAATCATCCCAGAGTATGTTTTAGAAAAAACCATCATCTTTAAGCCAACGACTGGTGTTGCTTTGATATTTTGATTCAATAACGTATTTCATTTAATAAGAAAAAGTTTGTCGACAATTTTCGGATATGACTTACCAATAGATTTCTTTTCTGACCACTAGGTATACCAAAAATGACATCTTCGATATTGAACAATTTTCACTTATTTATTACACTGGATGTCGTTCTTGATACGTTCACTGTTTTCATAGAGTCGCTTGATGACCTCGCAAAACAGAACACAATCAAGTATTCCGTGGTTCAAGGAACGGTGATCCACGAATACTTTCAAAGGATGGCGAAAATAGAATCGGATCTTTACCAGGAATGGAAAAGCATGAGTTTTTACACCAAGAACATAGGCACCTCTCGTACACTGCCCGCTAACTATGCTGTGTGGGATTACCCACTGGGGGACAAGTACCTCACGATCTGGAGATCCATCCAGAAGACTGGCTTGATAAATAATACTCGTGAAGGCATTGCCAAAGTACTGGCAGGTAATTTTGCCTTGATTCATGAATCGCCTATGATACAATACGAACTCTCCAAACACTGTGATTTGCTTGCTGTTGGCAAACAGTTCAGCAGCAGATCGTACGCATTTGCTCTGGCAGAAGGTTCGCCACTGACCCGCATCATCTTATATACGTAAGTACTTGCAGCATTATTAAAACTTATTTATTTTGATTCTTGTGATTATTTTACTTCAAGATCGACGACCTCTTCTGTTAAGTATTTGGCATGAATGTGACAACAGGCAATGTCACAGTAATCAAATTGTGTATATAGAACCATGGAAGTTTGAAACAAGTCTAGTATGTTGTACATGGAGCCAACCCAAGTCTATAGTTGTGTGCAAGTCTCTGGGGCATATTTTATTAACATAATTTAACAACTGTCTTTTTTGCTGTGAAATATTTTCATTTCAGAGACTAAATGTTAGTCTAAAAGCAGTCATGAATACTTGTATAGTTAGGTTTACCTGTATACTGGTATAAGAGTGAACACTGATGATTCATAATTTAATTTCAGGGTAAACTCAATGTATTGTAAATGATGATCTAGAATACTTAGGAAATGTATAATTATAAAATATATTGCCAATGCATAAATGGCACATCGACTATACATAAATGTCAGCGTTGCTCAAAACATTTTTATATATTTTATTGTCTGCTGTTACATCGCTGCAGCACAGCCTCGTGTTAGTTCACTGACAAAACCGCTGGTTCTAAGTTGAGTAACAGTAAGAGAATATGAAATTTCTATGCTAATATCAATGTGAATATACCATCATTTCAATCAGTAAATGTAGAATAGGTCTGCAGCAACCCATGCTTGCCGTAAAAGGCGACTATGCATGTCGTAAAAGCCGACTAACGGGATCGGGAGGTCAGGCTCGCTGACTTGGTTGATACATGTCATCGATCCCAATTGCGTGGATCGATGCTCATGATATCAATCACTGGATTGTCTGGTCCAGACTCGATTATTTACAGACCGCCGTCATATAGCTGGAATATTGCTGAGTGCGGCGTTAAACAACAAACCAACCAACCAACCCATCAGTAAATTGTTAGTGTGTTCACAATATATCTTCACGTTTATGAAGCACACGACGGGAAAACCACCGAACCAGCTTGATCAGCTCTTGTCATTCCAGGATATTACAACTGCAGTCCGAGACTATTCTGGAAACTATGAAGACGAAATGGTGGAAGAACGGCAGTTTGACATGTTCCCAGGTTGATGAAAGCGGCGGCCTCACATTTCACACTGTCGGTGGCATCTTCGTTGTTGCTAGTGTCGGCATTGGACTTGGAGTAATTGCCCTTGGTCTAGAGCGTCTGTGGGCATCATTGACAAGGGTGCCGAAAGTAAGATGCGTCACTTGCATAATGAGTGAGTGAGTATGGTATTACGCCGTTTTAGCAATATTCCAGCCATATCACGGCAGGGTACAGCAGAAATGGGTTTCACGCATTTTAATGTATACTTACATATTCAGGGAGCATCATCGAGTTTATTAATCCAACATTGGTCTGATTTCAACATTATTTCTGTTTGTAATGCGTTCCAGTGACACCGTAGCAAACCCCAGCTACGCTTGGTTTAGCGTTTGTCAAAAGCACACCCTAATATAATTCAGTTAATGCAACATTTTGAACCAGAACGTTGATTGTTTGTTTGTTGTTTAACGCTCCACTCGGCAATATTCCAGCTAAATGACTGAGGTCTGTAAATAATCGAGTGTGGACCAGACAATCCAGTGATTGACATCATGAGCATCGATCTACGCATTTGGGTACGATGACATGCATTAACCAAGTCAGCGAGCCTTACCACCCGATCCCGTTAGTCGCCTCTTACGACAAGCATTGTCGCACCACACGCACGGGTTGCTGAAGACCGTTTCTAACCTTCACGGGTTCAGAACTACTTCAAGAATGAAAGTCACCCAAAACTTCAACTTCAATGTCCCACCCTTGCAATTACATTTCCAAAGTTTCATCTTCCTACAGTTAGGTCTTGCTGAGTTATCTTACATAAACTATTTATTTGAGTATTCATTATCAGTCACGTGTTTTCAAGAACATTACCAAGGTGTTAAACAGTGCTAGTGTGAGGACCCGGATCTCCACGGGTGTAAAACGTTGATAGCCACTCTTGTAATAACCAATGACGTTCTACATTAGCATGTCTACTGTAAATGTAGTGACCGCTTCCGTGGTCTAATGGTAGAGCGTCCGCCCGGAGAGCGGAAGGTCCGGGGTTCGATCCCCAGCCGCGTCATACCAAAAGACGTTAAAAGATGCTTCTTGTTGTTACCCTGTCTGGCGCTCGGCATTAAGGGGCTAAAACGAGGACTGGTCGGCTAGGAGTCAGTATACTGTGTCTGAGTGGGGTATTCATGTTAAACTGCGACATGGTATCTCAGTGGGCTAGCACTATAAATCGGCATCAGTCCGGACTAGTACAAGCAGCCACACACACACATATATATAAATGCAATAATCTTGGACGCGACGTTGAAACCCCATTTCCCCACCTCACTGTAAATGCAGTTGGCACTTATATTCAGTCTAAGAGCTGTTGTGTGTAAGAACGTAACAGGACACTTTATCATGACACCTTCTCGTTCCTTGTCTAAAGCTGCGTATGTATTACAGGAGCAACATAACACTCAAGTAACGTCGCTGAATGGCCAAACAAATCTTGCCGCTGACTTCAACCCGGGGATCAGTTATCTTGCCAAGGAGTTCTACGGTGAGGAGGGCACGGCCGACATTGACGCTATCACACTGGAGATGGCGCGAATGTATTAGTTGAATTTTCACCATGACTTCAAGCCATGTAAATGCCCATAGAGAGAATTTATGGATGTCAACTTCTGTATTATGAGGAACACAACGTTTCGGGGTATATGCTTACTCCTTCATCGGGTGAAATGTCAACTTCTTTATTATGGGGAACGTTTCGGAGTATATGCTTACGCCTTCATCGGGGGAAAAGACATTTCACCCGATGAAGGAGTAAGTATATACTCCGAAACGTTGCGTTCCTCATAATAAAGAAGTTGACATAAATAAATTCTCTTCCTTAAGTGTATCACTTCTAAATGCCTTTCAAACACTATGTACATGCAGTTTCATTTCTTCAGGTGGCGGTTTATAACAGAAACGTGCTTGAACAGACACCATTTACTAAGTATTATGCTTATATACATCCAAGAATTTCATAATCATTGGTAGAATAGGTCTTAAGCAACCCATACTTGCCGTGAAAGGCGACTAACGGGATTGGGTGGTCAGGCTCGCTTACTTGGTTGATACATGTCATCGATCCCAATTGCGTGGATCGATGCTCATGATGTCAATCACTGGGTTTTCTGGTCCAGATTCGATTATTTTACAGACCGCCGTCATATAGCTGGAATATTGCTGAGTGCGGCGTTAAACAACAAACTAACAAACAAATCATAATCATTGAGGCTGTTTCATTATTTCTATTGCAATATTCTATTTGCTACCACAATACGAAAGTAGAAATGTGTGACCACTTTGCTCCCTTCATATAGTCGTCCATATTTGTGGGCGATATGGTAGCCTAGTAGCGTTCGCTCGTCACGCAAAAAGACCAAGGTTCGATTCCCCACATTGGTTCAATGTGTGAAGCCCATTTCTGGCGTTCACCGCCGCGACATTGCTGGAATATTGCTAAAAGCGACGTAAAGCTATGATGCTTATGCCCTCACTCACACACATTTGTGATGCATTACAGGAATCCAAGAAGAATGTATATTTTACCAACACTATGCGCATGTAAATAAACATAACTATATCTAATAAAGTTCACTTTGAGTATTGAAAAATGTTTGTTGTGCTTGTATATGTGTAGGGAGGACGATATCTCATGGTAATGTAGTGGAATTGATACGAATAATGTCGGCAGTGTTACCCTTTGCAGCATGTGATACCTGTAGTGAATTACATCATATGATGAAATGTGGCACTGATGTCTTGATCCATTGCAATGCATATACAGTATGGGTCATAATTATTGAGAATTAACAAATCTTTAAAACTGTAAATATGAAGATTTTCCCAAAAAAAACTAAAACATATTTTAAGTGAGCACGAACCTTCTTTAATCACATCACAGTAACATCAATATTTTATCAGACCACCATTTGCTTCCAAACACAGTTTTATACGATTGGGCATACTGAACAATTCTCAATATTGTTCTTAACTCTATACACTGTAGAAAGAGGAGAACCTGTGCTCTTTGCTAATGTAGCAGCATCAGTGATGCCTTCATTATGGAGCTGTAGAATCAACCTTCTTTTCTCCTCTGCACTCATTTCTGACATATCAGGAAAAGTCGTCTGATCCATAATAAAGGGAGCTAACTCCAATTTTGAACTTCTAAAATTGAAGAAGAGTTGCTTCCCTTTGACCATACCTCAATTTTGAACACTTGTCAATATTGATATCTTATGTATGCTTCCTTGAATATGACATTAAAATTCTCAATAATTTTGAATCAGACTATATTATGGTGCACACATGTAGGTGTGTATTATGAATGAACATACACACAACATATGGCCTCTGGTACGTGCATGCAACGGATCAAAGCAGGCGTTGTAACTATTCATGTTTGATCGTTGATCAACGTTACAACATTTAAGGCCTTAAAAAAGCTGCATAAACGTTTCATAACGTTTTGGAGGACATTTCCACATTTGACGCGCCAGTGACAAAAATAATGTCCAATGCAGTCCCAATTTTGATTTGTACCATACGTTCCCGTGTTAAGCTGAACAATTGACTTGCGTTGTCTGTGTTTAGGACGAGTACCACCGGTGCGGCTGGATACGCTCACATTTTTACGAATACCTGGTATCATCACTATTTTTGTATAATGATATAGTCGGAATTGTATACTCAAAGAGATTTCTCATAATTATTAATTTATTATATCATTAATCAATCTTTTCAATCTGCATGTAATTTTGTCTGTTACATCAGATTGGTTGGGTTGGTTTGTTATTTAACGCCGCACTCAGCAATATTCCAGCTATATGACGGCGGTCTGTAGAATAATCGAGTCTGGACCAGACAATCCAGTGATTGACATCAAGAGCATCGATCCACGCCATTTGGATCGATGACATGTATCAGCCAAGTCAGCGAGCTTGACCACCCGATCCCGTTAGTCGTCTTTCACGACAAGCATAGTCGCCTTTTACGGCAAGTCTGGGTTGCTGAAGACTTTTACATCAGAACGATATATATTTTAACATTTACCTTTTTCATCGTTCACGTGTCTGCTGAATATACCAAATAACGTAAAAGTGCCCTGACAACGATACATCAAATTCTATGGATCAACTTTTTTTGTGGGTTAGATCCATCGATACATTAACTTTAAATCACAATTTTAACCTTTAATTAATAAATACTGTTATAACGTTAAAACACAACTACTTTTATTTCAATATTAAACTGCAGACCCTGAACGGCGTTTCTAGTAACACCTTGCTGGTCAGGGTAAGTCATCATAACAGTGCCCGAATGTGTTGTCTGATCGTGCATCCTAGAAACGTTAACATTGGGCATTCACAACGACAGATATGGGCTGATTCTATCACCCTTTTCGCAGTATTGCTACCATATGACGACGCGGAACACACAAACTTTCCTTCGCATTGTGTACTACTTAGTACTATTACAAATAAATTCTCCAATAATCCCGAGATATCAGATGCATTGCACATAATCGTTGAAAATGGGATCAACATGATCTTGTCAAGGTTAAAATGCCCTCCTTCAGTATGCCACAGCCAAATACACAAATGGCAGTCGTGATAATGCATCAATTCAACACTTAAGAACGCAGAAACAAATTTACTATCAGTTACAATACATGTACAATTATATCAAACAAACAAAAATGGTATTAGTCATGGTTACATGAGCAAGCATTACGCGACATGGAATGTGTATTACGTCTTTGTCTATTGCAGAAGGCATACAATGCAAGTTTTGGCCGTGCGTGTGTTAACCCATGCACTGAGACACATTGCCTCAGTGTAACATGAATACCCCACTCTTCCACAGTATATTGGCTTCGAGCCGACTAGTCCTTGTTTCAGCCCCTTAATGTCGCGCGCCAGGCAGGGCAACAACAAATATCATCCTATAACGTCATTTGGTATTGACACGACCTGGTATCGAACACCCGACCATCCGCTCTCTGGGCAGACGCTCTATCCACTGGACGGTTTTATGGGACCCACCATATTAATATTCAGGGGGTGGCCCTGGTTTTTTTTGGTTAAAGCCAGGATATGTTTTCGGTAATGTTTTAAAAGAAGCACTTCCTTCATCTAGTAGGAGCTGCCGAGTAACTTAGAAATCTTTCAAAACACATCTATATCAGGATAGCGACTAACTTTCTGGTTTCAACTTCTGAAGAAAATATATATGTTTCCATTTTTACCAAGAAAAATAATAAATCCTAGCACCAACTAAGAAATTACAAAAAAGGATTTTCAGGACAATGATGACTGTTGACAGAAACAAAGCGACACAACAACGATTGACATTTAGAAATGCTAGATTTTGTCAAGTTCTTCCTCCGCCAGCTGGAGTCTCTCGTGACGAGACTTGCATTCTCTCCTCGTGTAGGCCATGTCTGGATCTTCCTGGATGTGAACCATGGTTCTTTCGTCAGAAGCAATGTCCATCAGCAGGATACGCATCTCCTCCACCTGTTCCCGGAACACGTGCTGTTGTATGATCATGGGGATGACATCACAGAGACGCCGTGCAGCAATCTGAAACAAATGTACACGAGGATTGGTACACTCAAAACAGCAATACTGACACTTTGAGAACACTTTGAGAACACTTTGAGAAATGCAATGCAAATACTCCAAGTAGCCACATTACAAGTACAAAGAACACCTTTGACCTTTCGTTTTGGTTGCATCTTCAGAGAGGATGTCCACGTTGTACGGCCTAAGGTTTCATAAAGCCAACACAACCGACGTATAATGAACACGCCAATAAACTGTTACTTATTTTTTCTCATCAACTTATACATTAAACTTCTATATCTAGTATAATTAACAATATGAGATTATTGTTCAGGTCCCAAACCAGAAATCCTTTAGAATGTGGAATCAATTGTGAATATGTGTAAAAATGAATGTTTTAATCCATTGACATATGTAAATATCCAAGAAATTGAGGCCGCACATGGAATCTGACTTCTGCCTGACCTATTTGACTTATTTTACCATTGAATGAGAACTGCCCTATCCTAGGGAAAGTATATGCAAAATTAAATCAATGATAAATACACAAACTTAGTTTGACATCCGCCAAACGAGTTCCCGAGGGCCTTTTGTAAGAACCCTCACCCTGGCAGGTGTGGGTTCAAATCCCGGACGGGACTCACCTCAAAAAAAGTACTAGAATCTGTACTTTACTAAGAAAGTGTTATCGCAAATATAACATTGGTGACGCTAAAAGATACCCTGTCTGGCGCTCGGCATTAAGGGACTTATACAAGGACTGGTCGGCTCGGAGCCAGTATACTGTGTGTGGGTGTGGTATTCGTGTTAAACTGCGGCAATGTATCTGAGTGGGCACACACACACACACACACGCGCGCGCGCGCACACACACACACACACGCAGTGTTAATTCCAAAATAAGTGACCTCGGCCTTGAGTATGAGCTTATCGCATGTCTTAGAAAGAGGCTTTCTTCAACGAACAACACATAGCAATGTACCTGGCAATAAGATCTTAGACTCAACAATGCCTTGCCGACACTGTTCACATCTTCTTCCGTTTTGTCTACTGAAATATAGAAACATTCTCATGAAAACGAAGCTTATCCAACGTAAAATCGTGATCGTATCGTATACGCACATACAGTTTCAGGTGGAGGAGCTTTAACGAGTACATTATTTCTATATACACCATACAGGCGAATGTGTTACGATTAAACACGTTACAACAAATCTAAGATTAGATCACAGTCGCAAGGGCCAAGGCAGATAATACTGTCTGGTGTGTTAAATGCTGTATATGACTACGCTATTAATACAACAGCACCTGGACTTAGCCCTGCCTTTCCTCTCCTCTCTTCCTCTTCTTTTTCTTCCTTTCGTTTCTTTTCCTCTTCTGTTCCTAGAACGGAAAATAAAAGTAAGCGTAAGGACTGCATTAAATGTTGATAAAGATGCGTGTATAGTTACAGATTGAGCATTTTTGGTTTGCCAAGGATCTTGTCCAATTTGGTCCGAATTGTGATAAACTTGAAAGATTACTTATACTGCCAAGAATCATTACGACTCATTCACTCCTGGAGATATAAACATACATACATGATGATGATGATGATGAAGATGGTTACAAAGTTAAAAGAGCCAACTTCCTCAGAAATATCACACAATGTAGAACATGCAAAGTCAATCATTTTCACCACACAGTACTCATCTACAAGCACATTAAGAATTTAAAATCTTAAGTTTGACACAGGACTTTACGAAAGTACCTACGAGCTGTTATTTTAATATCAAATATATCGATAGTCGTCAGTGATTACTGACACAGCGCCCGTGTTTGTGGGTGTCACCGAAGTGGTAAACGTCTGAGACCTGCATCACTTCGGGCTTTCCTCCCACATTAAGCTTTAAAATGACACGCCGTGATATAACTGGAATAATGTTAAAAGCGGCGTTAAACCCAACTCACTCACTGACTGGCACAGCACCTTTAGAAATTACCAAGAGAATCTTTCCAACTTAAGCGTCGGTTGATATAAGATATATCAACACTATTCA